AAATAAACTAGTGAAATGAACTATTAGCTTGATTTTGCTTTTTTTATTTAAACTTCTCTTTAATATTTCTATGTGTTTCACTAATATTGCTAATTCTGTATTATTGTCCTTTTACAGTTCCTCGGTGACTTTATACTCATATTGATGAGTTGTCTTCATTAACAAAACACATCCCGCCAAACCCCAAAGGACAATAATATAAACAACTGATGTGAGGCTGGCAAAATAGACTGAATACACAAAGTCTGACATAAATAATGCTATACATTGGTAGAATGAAACGACACGTGTCATGTTATTAAAACATTTTTGGGATATTACTGTTTCTCTAATTCTAAGGAAATTTATCCCTTTCCGAACCTATTGTATAAAAAAATTTAATCAGCGTGTGGTTGCCGTTGATCTCAGAAGATGATTGGATGAATTTAAGGGTCATAACCTTTAGCAGCACACTGGATGTATCAAAATATGCCAACAGGTGTTAATGAAATTGACAACTTCGGGGAATGTGGAAGGCACTGGAAGGGGACTTTCGTTTAACAAAAAATGAAAATTTATTTATTAATCATTAGAGAATCAGATTCTTACATAGTTACTCGTGGATTATCGGATTTATCCAATCTCGATAGTTAAATTATGAATTTTAAAGTCCTCGCCGAGGCTCGGACATTAAAATTGATAATTTAACTATCTCGATTGGATAAATCCGATAAACCACTGGTACCAATGTAAGAATCTATATTAATGGTATTTGCAATCATGACATAAAGATACAAACGCAGAAATGTGAATATAAACTTCATTAAAATTTTAAAGTTCAGTTTCATTAAAGAATACCCTGCATTACTTTAGTATAGTTCTAGTAGACCCGCACAACCTATGCTTATCATGGATAGTAATGAGACTACAAGTGTCATGTTATTAAAAAAAGAATTCGATATAACTATGTATGGTATCTGCAATCATGACATTAAGATGACCACACAGCAACATGCATATAAAAGTAATGAAAGGTTCATCCTCATTAAAGAATACCCTACATCACTTCCGTATAGTTCTAGTAGATAGACAATAACTGTATAGTGTCTTTAAATATCAGCTGTATTTTTACGAGGCTATGAAACAGGTGTAATGCGAGCTTAGGCGAGCTATTACTCCTGTTTCGAGCCGAGTACAAATACAGCTGATATTTAAAGACACTATACAGTTATTGTATTTGTCCTGCAATGAATTTTGTACATTTTTTTCCATCCCAATCGCTGAATTTGTTTTTGAAAGAAATCGACATGACTTAAACGCGGACCGCGATGAGGACCCCAAATTGACCTGTAACGTAAACATTAATTTGACATAACCGTTCGCTCGCAACAGAAGCAGGATACCAGGAGACTGTATCCGTCTAGTATATGTATATCGCTTAGTGTTATCTGTACACCTGTATTAGTATAGTAGAGAGGTCGATTGCAGGATAAACCCGCATAACTTATGCTCAGCATGGGTAAGAATGAGACTGCATATGTCGTGATGATTAATAAAAAACAGTATACGATATTATATAAATAACACATAGCTGAGAGGGTAATAGAGCAGATTGTTACCCCGAGAAAACATTGTCAGCTGAGGCGAAGCCAAGGTTGACAATGTCTTTTCGACATTTATTATACTGAATGTTCTGTTATTACTGTCGATTAAATTTCAAATTGAAAGTAATAAACTATGACGTCTTGTACATAACAACCATCCGTATTTAATAAAGCGCACACTTGATCAAGCGTCTCCATGAAGGGTAATGGAGTAAATTAACACCCTCGTATTAGCCAATCAAAATATGGCATTTTAACGTGAAGTATAATAAAGCTATATATGGTATTCGCAATCATGATATTTACATGCACACACAGCAACATGCATATTAATGTTATAAAAAGTTCAGTCTCATTAATGAATACCCTACATTATTTCAGTATTAAGTCTAGTAGACCCGCATAACTTATACATGCTCAGCATTGGTAGCCATGAGACTTCAGGCATATGCCATGATATTATAATCTGTATTCGATATAACAATATATGTTATTTGCATTCCTGACATGAACATGCACACATAGCAACATGCATGTAAAGTTCATACAAAGTTTAGTTTTATTACATTAGCGGGTACACTATATATCATTTTAGTATATATATATTCATTAAACAACAAATACCTTATGATGTATCTATCCAGATTATTTTATATATTATGAAAAATTCTATACTAAAATACTAAGAAATAATGTACAGATAGTCAGTATTTATATCAGTCGTCCTATGAATGTTGGTGTTGAATGGTATTAGTGAGTTAAATTTATTCACATCTTTAGGGACGGATTCAGGTGATCCCCCTTGTAAAACGGAATAAACGGAAAAGATATCATGATTTTCATAGTACAAGTCAATACTTTTTTGCATCGCAAAATTGTTACATGTATGTAGCGTACTAACCCACCGCAAGTACCATACATGAACTTGTTTTGTCTTTTGTCGATGTATAGCCTGATATATGTTGTACGCGCTCACTGAGGACCATTATGTGTCCACTCGGTGCCTTTCTGTGTATTTTTTATTGTTGGTTTGCTGTCTCGTTGACGTAAACACCCCCTAGTCTTATTTTATTTACTTGTAATTATTTTATTAAACATATTGACAAATTTCAAAAATGTTATCGTTACAATACCCAATAAACTTCCAACAAACAATACATATATGAATATATATCGGAAATTCGATCGAAATTAACCGTCAGACTGTGGACAGAATCAACACGTTCTTTGTCTCCGGTAATATTTCAATAGTGTTGATATGAGAAAAAAAATATTCTATAGTTGATTTCATATCTGGTTAATCTTTATATTTAAATATATATTTGTTAATACACATAATCAACTTGAGGTGTGTTATGGTACATTTTTGAGACAGCAAAGTTTCGCGTGTGGTGAGTTGTATATTTTTCTATACTTATATTTGTAAAATTATCTAATATATAAACTCCAAAGAGGGCTAATTTGCTCGTATGCTAAAATAGACAGAGAACTCCAAAATATGATAAGACTCTAAAGTCGTCATGTAACTTTGGACAATATGGAACTATTTTATTTAAGAGGGGAAAGCTTTGAATTTTTGTACTTAAATATTAAAGCTTGATTAGAGTGAAAATGAATATTAGATAATATATCTATGAAAATGAGTATCTAATGTTTATCCCCTTTAAGATGACTTATTTTATTTTCAAAATTATCTCGTCTTATTTCTCGGCGCATTCTGAAATGTATTTAAAATGGATTATGCTCAACAATATAATATCTTAGTTTTCGTTTCTTTCTTCATGTTCCTTAAAAGTTTATGTATCAAAAGATCTGTAGGTCTTTCCTACTCCCACCTTTTTTCCCGGACACTCCAACCAAATCGTTTATAAACATACTACGATCGAACGAAAACAGACAGACCAAAAAGAACAGAAAATAGACCGTATCTGATCAGAAAATAAACGTCAGATCTTTCTTAACAGATCCCAACGTTCGTCTTCAGAGTCTAGCCAATCTAAGGTTTATGTGTATTGTTTTGTTGTCTGTTACTTTTCTGTTCGTCTTTTTTGGTGGGACATGGTGTTGTTTGTTTTTCTTCTACTCGTGTTTTTCTTCTATCTCCCATAGTATCTTCTATCCTTCATATTCAATTATAGAGGTTCTATAGATGTGGGTCCTTCATTTGTGTATTATCTAATTTTTAATACCATTTTTCTCGATTCTTTATATTTTTTGCCCATTAATCTCTATTCTATATATTTTTTGCCCATTAATCTCTATTCTATATATTTTTTGCCCATTAATCTCTATTCTATATGTTTTTGGCCCATTAATCTCTATTCTATATATTTCTTGCCCATTAATCTCTATTCTTTATATTTTTGTCCATTAATCTCTATTCTTTATATTTTTGCCCATTAATCTCTATTCTTTATATTTTTGCCCATTAATCTCTATCCTTTATATTTTTTGCCCATTAATCTCTATTCTTTATATTTTTTGCCCATTAATCTCTATTCTTTATATTTTTGCCCATTAATCTCTATCCTTTATATTTTAGCACCCCTATATTCTTTATTCTTTATTTTTTGGTCCATTTTTCTCTATTCTTTATATGTTTTGCCGGTTATTCTCTATTTTTTTGTAAACCCTTATCCAGGCCCTCATCATGGGTGAGTGAAAACCTTATAGTAGACTAACAAAGACCATTTATCTTTCATTTGTTTTTTTTGTTTTTTGTTTTTTATTGTTTGATTTTCTTTTATACATGATTTTTTTTCAAGAAAAAGTGAAATAATTTGTAATATTGAAAAATTAGATATAAAAGCAAATTATTTTTTAAACTCCATCTTGTATGTTATTGGAGATATAGTTTGTTTTTATGAAAGTTTTTATTCTAAATTGTTTGGAGGAAGAACAAACACATGGTCAGTGTCTAGAGTCACTAGAAGAACACTGTTTTAAAGCAACAGTTTAAGTTTTACGTTGGTTTTTCTTTTTATGGTCAAAGAATTTAAAAATTAAGTCAAAATATATCAAATTATTTGTCCTTGGTAATCCTACCATTCCAAAAACAAAAAAACTTATATAAGTGAGGATCACATCGTTTATTTCCGGTTTTTTCTCCCCCCTACTTTTCGACCTTAAGCTTCCGTAAAACATTATTTGACGTCATTGTGGTTTAAATTAAGTTTCTTACTTGTGGAATAAACCTACAGAATGTACCTGCCTCCTTAGAACATAATCTCTAAACACATTTACGGATTATTGATCCCCTTTGAACCAATTGTACATTAATTAAACGTCACATTTTATTTCAATAAATATCAAATATCTATTAAATCTTAATGGAGAGCACTTCTTTAAACTCTAATATGTATAATGCAAATTAGAATTAAATTGAAACTTTAAATCTATCCAAACATTTTAAATTGGCAGAATACTTGACCGATTTGCAAGTAAATATCACAGCTCAAAAACTCGAGAAAAAAAAATAAACATAATGCACGGAGAGGGATCAAGATGATAGATTAAACGTGTATTGTTTGTCTCATTTTCGTATTCGCTAATCGGATAAATTTTGATGGCTTATGTTAATTCGTACATTTAATCCGGGATTAAGTAGGACAATTTAATATCGTAATAAATATGACAGGACTGCATATGGGCACATGTGTATAATGTTTTGAAAATACAGCTGTGCGCTTTGAAAATATTGGAGCCAGTTGAATTCAATGATGTTTAAGGTTTGTGAAAACATTTTTTATGTCAAAGATATTTCAGTGAACAAAAATCACCAGGCCAGTAGGTTAGTTACTGATTTGGTCTCGGGAATGGGGCTCCATAATTTCACTTGGATTAATTGCTTGAATGGTTAAGGTTTGTTGAACGTCCAGTGGCAAATATTTTATGTATATTCGCGACGAGAAAAAACACAACAATACATTGATAAAAAAATGCAGGTTCGGCATAGTTTGTCGATCAAAGTTTGCAAATAAAAAAATATTATATATGATAAATCCGCATTTAACAGTTTAGTGAAACTACTGTCATATTTGTATATTAATAATGATTGTTGTAATGTCAAATTAAAAATTATACGGCTATAATGCCGTTACATGTACATTGCATATTAAGGCGGAAGTTGTTTACCGCTGTTCAATCATAAATCGATTAAGAAGAGACAAAACAAGGAAACAAACAAAATCTGAAGGAATCGCATGATCTTCTAAAGGAGCGAAACCGGGCGCGTCGACTGGGGAGGCATTTCCGGCTATGCTTACATCATACGCTGTGGTTGTAACGGCATGCACCAATTTTACTGCACTAGATCAGATGCGCATTTCGACAATTAATATATCTGCAGTGTTGATCGAGGCCAAAATATTTTAAAATTCAAAAATCTGATTCAAAAATTGAACAGCTGATAAAACAAAAAAGGACAAAAAGTATAGCAAAAGTCTGGCAAGGATTCAGCTTTGCACAAGGAAGATATATTCCTTAATTTAGAATAATTTACAAACTATGATTTTGTAACAGCAAATTTCAAAACACAACATCAGTATTTTCATGCCAGTACCGAAGTACTGGCTACTTGGCTGGTGATACCCTCTGGGACTAACAGTCAACCAGCAGAGGTATCGACCCACTATAACGAACCTATCGTTCTCGCTCAGATTTCGTTTCCAATATTTTGCGCTGAGGATAGTACTAGTATTACATTTAAGATGTGTTTTAGGTACAGACTATAACAAAAATATAAAGTCCAGTCTTTTGTTGAAAATCTACAGTCTTGCTCTGAAACAAATGTATGTATAAATTCTTGCACGGACTAGTAAAGTCTAGCCCTAAAAACGCTGTCTAGACTTTACACTATCACGCAAGACCTTTATACCTCGAACGCTATAGAGTTTACCGTCAGAGTTTCAATCTCCAGCACATAACATTACATTGGATGGATATGTGATATAACATTTTACTACAATAACGTTAAATTGAAATGCATATATGTATGTGGTGATGATATATAATATAACGTCTTTGCGGGTGGATCTGAACCGGGTTGATCTGGGAGTTCATGTTGGGAAGAGGAATAGTTCCGTAACTATTGTCTTTAGTTTTTGAACAAACGAAGAAAGTTACAAATTCCAATGTTCCCCAAAATCTTCATCTACAAGTCATCGTACATTCACCCGTCAGAGAGCAGGTTCTCGTACAATTATATAACTTTCGTTTACAATTACAGGACCGTCGAATCAAAGATCTTACAGTTCCTTGTATATCATAAAAACTAATTTCAAGCGTTGAAGAATATAAATAACCAGCAGCTATAAAAGGTTCTTAAATAATGATAAGCAATACAAGGGAAATTTTCGCCTCATGAAGGGCACGCCCAATACTGCTTCTGGGTAAAACATTGTTTTCTTCTAGATTAATTCTGCTGGCATGACAATACGATGGGACACCAACCATCCCGCTCTGTAGGAGGTCGAAACGTTTTGTTCTTAACACATTCATTTGATTTTTTTTAGATATTTGAATACGATATCGATGCCTTTATACAAAATACACAATTACCTAAATGAATTTAGATATTCGATCACTTTGTTCATGCAAAGGATGGGTTTTTAAATTGACACATAGATCTTATTCAAAGCTCAACATTAAAAATGCAACATTTAAAGCTTTAATTGCAAGCAATTATAATTCTTTTGTTGTTATAAAACATGTTTAAATATTTAATATAAAACATAATACTTCAACGAATTAAAGTGAAAGTCTATCGATTGTGTATCAAAAAGTTTAACACGTAATTCAATGGGAATACCTATTTTTCTCAGTCACGCAAATAAGACTAAAAAAGCATAGACGTTTGTCATCATATCAGTATTTATAAGTATGTATAACATTTTTAAAGATTTTTTTGGGGAAATATCATTTATAGGGGAAGAAATGTTTGAAAAATGTAATAAACTTTATTCTATAACTGCTATATAATTATGAAATTTATATCTTATCTTGTGTGATTTTATTTTTCATAATTATCGTTTTCTTGTACATTTTAACCATTACAACTGTTTAGTCCATTTTTGGTAATATACTTTTGGCGTGGCTCGGTACTTATACATCCCACCATTGTGTTATTGTACTATGGTCAATTTTATATTCTTGTCTTTCATTTTTGCTTATGTACTTTGTCTATAGAGTGTCTATATGCCATTTTATTTTTACTTGTTGAAATAGTTTTTTTATAGTGATTAAGATTATATTACAATGTTGACTACTGTACCCTAATTTTTTACATTTTTACCTATTATGTCTGTTTGTTTTGCTCACACATTGGTGTCAATATAATGGAATTCTATGCGACTGTTATACAAGTGAGAGGTTTAGCTAGCCATGAAACAAAGTTTAATCCACCATTTTCTACATTAGGAAATGGCTGTACCAAGTCAGGAATATGACAGTTGTTTTCCAATCGTTTGATGTGTTTGAGCTTTTGATTTTGCCATTTTATAAAGGACTTCCCGTTTTGAATTTCTCTTGGAGTTCGGTATTTTTGTTACTTTACTTTTTTTCCACCTCCAGAAGGAAGAATCCCAACAGCTACATTTCCTTCCGAGCTGAAATAGGGGGTGAAACTTTTTGTCACCGTTTAAGGTGGTACCTAACACTACAGGGAGATAACTCTGTAAAAATCAGCTAAACGTTTTAATCACATTGTATTGTTGTAGGAAATATTAAGCTTCTCAATGATCAAAATTAGTGTTTGTCAAACTGCTATATAACCAATGAAATTTTTCTAATAAAGTGGTTGGTTCAAATTTTTTGAAATTTTTATATTTTTGTCAAAGGGTCAAAGTAAACATTTTGTCAAAATTTTATGAAAATTAAACGAGCCAAATTAATATTAGTCAAGGTGTTGGGTACCACCTTAACGAAGACTTATAATATCAGGCTTCAATCTGTCTGATCTACAGTATTAACTCTTCGTCAACAAGAATATACAACTCAAATCATTGGTCAGCGTCACGTGATAAGGGGTAGATGATACAAAGGAGCGTATTCAGATGTCGAAGAAAACAGACATATCATTAGTCTTAGAGTAAATGTGTGTGTGGGGGGGGGGGGGGGGGGGGGGGGGGGGGACGGGTCTAGGGGAGACATTATTTTTTATTGGTTGTTATTGGCTTTGAATTAGATTTCAGTCAACTACCATTACTGTCAGATCTGTGCTTTGTGTCTTTTGTGTTTGTGTTAAGGTTTGTATGTGCTTTGTATCGATCTGATGAGTTAAGCCCATTTCAACTGATTTTTATAGTTTGTTCTTATGTCGAACTGTTACACCACTGTCCCAGGTTACGGGGAGGGTTTGGCGCCAACAAACATGTGAAACCCCGTCACATTCTATATGTGCCTGTCCCGAATGAGGAGCCTGTATTTGAGTGGTTGTCGTTTTTTGCTGTTTCTCCTATTTGTTTTTCGTTTATTGTTTTGCATAGTTTGTTCTTGGATTGTGCCGTTACATCACTGTCCCAGGTTAGGATGAGGGTTGGCGCCTTCAAACATGTTTAACCCCGCATTTTTTTAGCAAATCCTATTGAGATCAAAGTTTGAAATGAAATTATTCAGGTTTAGTTGGAGGCAACTATTAAATATTGCCATGTATACTTATATACTTTAAAACCTGCTCAAATATATATATAGAAATTTAGAGCTCTTAATTCCCATAAAATGCACGTAGGAGAAATGTCTAAAAATCCATTTACACTTAATTTGATATATCGTACTGAGCACGCGGGCAAAACGAATGCATCATCACGACCTGTCCTAGTTATGATACCGTGTCTGGATACGTACTATTAGATACAAGATGAAAGCACGTAGTCATCTTATTAGCACGTTACGAAAAACGAAGCAAATGACGTAGAAAAGTTGAAACGGAAAACAAATGAAAAGCAAATGTTACACCTTGGCATTAGTTTGAACGCCCACTTTCAGCTAAGTGTTTCCTAGTTTCGAAATCTATAATATTGTCCGTTATTTGATGTAAACTTTTGTGGAAAAAAACAAAAATGCTATAGATCATGTTGACAGAAATGATAATGGGGCATCAATTAGGGTGACTTTTATATTTTTGATTGTGCTATTTAAAATTGAATGTCTGAATGGATTCATTAGAAGACAATAGATTTATATTAGATCTTTCCTTTTGGTTTTCTGTTGAATTGACAAGTCTGACCGAATTTTTTTGCTGAGGACAACTTTCCAAAATTCAATTTAAAAGTTATGGAATACGCTGAATTTAAATGCACCATCGAATGCTTTGATATCATCTGATGAACTTTGATAATAACAATGTCCCTTTTAGAAACGAGATTTCATCGTTCGTAATTGGTTCACCGATGATCTACTGAGCCACGCGAGACATTATCCTATCTTAAGTTAAATTCCACATTAAATTAGAATTATTGTATTAATGCGATAATACAGTTGCTAAACCGATGACCGAGAACAATAGAATATTCACTCTTATTATGAAAAAGTTGAGAAAATCAATAGTAAAACAGTGCCGGTGACTAAACTGATCAACAGTTATTTCTAAACAACAATCGTACATTTTAAATAAATTATTTGTTAAACAGTGGTATTAGAAATATAAATGCAAAGACGCGATGTTTTATCTTCATTATTTATAGAGATACTTGAATTAAAAGCTTGTGAAAGTGAAATTTAAATAAAGTTAATCTTTGCTGCATAATGATAAAAACTTGGAAAAAATCATGAACATACAAAATCTGAGATCTTTCAGAATTTTTTTTAGAAGTGTTCCACAAAGTCCTTAGAATGTTACAATTTCCCAAAATATACCTATTTTTCACATTACAAGTTTTCGGGTACATCGGCCTGCTCTTGTCACGTGAATTTTCAATATAGAAATATTATCTTTTCGTGAATATAACAATTTAAAAGTCATGGTTGTGCAGGTTAAAAAATTAAAGATAAATATTTTTATTACATAGGTTATCCGTTAAAAGATATTTACTATTTTTTATACTTATTCAAGAAAAGGTCGTCTCGATTTCTGTACATATATTTGCGGTCTTCTCGATCTATTCACATTCAATATTTACATCGGGATAAGGTCTATTTGAATTGGCTTAGTAACTTAATTTCAAAAGTGTTAATCTTTGCTGCATATCAATCGATTCCGTTAGTATTTTTTCCCTGAACTTCTCTGATCTAGCTACATACATATACGGATAATTGACGTGTTCCAGAGAGGTATACAGCCAGTAGAAAAATAAATTGAAGTTGGTACTCCAGTAAATTATTCGCATAGCAACATTTTAAACCAATTTTACACAAAGCTCCTATAGCCTGCTGTACTCGTCGTTTACTAAATTAGGAGGGAAATGATATTTATTTCAATTTGATTTTATTGCTACTACATTGTATTTACCAGAAAGAGACAAACATTGAAAAGATCAAGATTTCTGTGTTTACAGGGGAGGTAGTATTTTGTCAATAGATTTCCCAATGATATAGGTAGAACAGTTGATTGATATGGTCATAATTTTAAATTTACAGTTTACAAAAATGAGAATTTTTCGAAATACTAAGGATTTTCTACTCCAGGAAAAGATAAAAATAGCTGTATTTGGCAAAACCTTTCGGAATTTTTTGTCCTTCAACTTCGTAATTCATTTGGCCTTTTCATTTTTTTTATTCGAGCGTCACTGATGAGTCTTTTGTAGACAAAACGCGTGTCTGGAGTGTTTTTTTCAGCATAATATTTATGAGGAGTTTATTTTTTCTGATTTTGTCCTACCCCACCCCCTATTTTTCAGTGAACCCGTCCGGTCGAATTTTTGAAAATATTTCGTCCCCATGGACTTGGGTACCGATGGAAGGAAGTGTTTCTTTCGTATCTCTAAAGCTAACACTATGAACAACGGATCGAGCTTCACTGAAGGGAGTCAAAAAGATTACCCTTTTGGCACGCTTTGTCCAACTTTCACGTGGCCTTAGTTTTTTTTTTTTTAAATATTTACGATTTATGTCTGTAGCAGATGCTATTTCTCATTTCAGACAAGATTGGATATGAAGAAAAAGAAGATAAAGCCACCTATAGATGAGAAATTGTTCTTCAGCCTCCGTGGCACGTCTATTCAGAAGAAACCCTCCGTACAGGCTGAAGTGGAGAATTTTAATCTCTATGGAAACCTGAGAAAAGCTCCCACAGAAATACACAACTCATTACCATCATCCCAACGTGAGTAATGTAGAGCGTTTACCCTTCCGAAGCACCTGAGATCAACCCCCCGCGTTTTTTATGGGGTTCGTGTTGCTCAATCTTAGTTTGGTATGTTTTGTTTTGTAGACTGTCTTTTGGTCGTTTATTCTTTTTTTTGCCATAGCGTTGTCAATTTGTCTTCTACTTATGAGTTTGAATATTCCTTTGGCTTACCAAACTCCGTACAGTGATCGTTTCCGTTCCGGAACTATTTTCCTTTACTCCATCAGTGTAGAGTAGTATGCGGATCGGAGCTGGAACTGCCGGGGAGTTTGTTGGCTTACGTCTCATTCTTAATGATATTCTCAATTTCCGATCTAACTGATCTCATCCGGTATAAACTATCACTCGTTTTCATACAAAAATGAAACAATTGATGAGGCATGTCTAGTTAAATAATTGCAACAACAACAAAAAACGGGAAAAATATCGAATGTTAAATGATTTTTAATTCCTAAATAAAAAAACAAACTGTTTTCAATACATTACATATCAATACCAATTAAACCGCCTGTGAATACTCGGTTTCAAAACTTGTTTCTAATAACTGTAAAAGCCGCAAGCAAATAACGGTATACGACATTAAAACGTTGAATTGAACATGGGGAAAAATGTCTGACTCATATTAATTTTCTCCAATTAATTTGAATTATTATATGCACAAATAAACATAGCAATGTGCACAAATAAACAAAGCAAAATACACCCAAAACATAGCATACAAAAGTCATTTTTTTTTAAATTCTTTTCAATGAAGTCAAAGCAATGATTAGCAGTCATGCCATACACTGCTGTTTAATTCTTTTTCAGTGATAGAGAGAGAAATGAAATATATCAATTTTGACGAGGAACGAAGAAATAGACCACATGAAGTTGGATACAAAGACTTTTACCAATACCTCACTCCGACAGTGACACCCGTGAGAAAGAATAGAGAAATTACATCTAGCTAACACAGTCTGGATGAATAGTGCTATTTTTTTCATTTTCATATACATGTATTTGTGCTATTGGAAACTTCACATCGTCGAGTTTAGAGGCGGAGACAGGATTTTCCAGGGAGGGATAGACTCGCGTGGGTTCTAACATTTTAGGATTTACATGTTGTTTGCCCCTTTCTCTCTTTCTCTTTCTCTCTCTCTCTTCTGCTTGCAAGCCTGCCACACGGTGTCAAAATTATGTCATTGGTTTACTGTAAAGAAAAAACATATTCTGACTTTGTAACTGTGCAATATATATTACAGAATCATTTTGAAGATTTGAAGAAAAAAAAAAACATTTCTTGTCAGCTACTGAGATAGAGGCTTGAAATTAAAGGCAAGTCTTGGAAAAGTTATCGATCATGCTTTGTATCTTGAATTATGTTCTAAATCGGTGCTTTGAAGTTGGTAGTATATTAATTTCCCATCATAGTGAAGAAGGAGTTTGGATGATCGGGGCTCAAGTTGTCTTATTTGAAATTTTATCTCGTTAATGTAGCTGAAATGTGTCTATTTGAAGAGAATAAGTATTTGCATTTATTCCTCCAATGCTTTTCTTTTTGTTAAAAATTTTATCTAGAATATACAGTTTGTTTGAACTTTTTTGAGCAGAGTAAATGTACACATTTATATATATATACATATACAGTATTGTCACTTTGTTTACATTGGTGCTGGGTATAGATGTACAGTGGAAACCTAGAATGATTGTAACAAAAGTTGTCTATTAACAAAATGATAAGATTGTCCGTGCTTTTGTTTGTTTTAAAACTGTAAAGCTATTTGTACTATGATGTTATTATGAATAAATCTTGAAATTGTTTTCTCCATATGTTGCCTATTATGTTTTAAATACTGCATCATCATATTTGCCTCGCCAGTTAGTAATGAGCCAATCTTGCTTTTGATGAAACCAAAATTTATAAATCTAAAAAAGAAAATGTAATGCTAACCCTTCCGGATCACCTGAGATCACCCCGGGTTTATTTTTGTATTGTTTGTTCTGCCAGTCTTTAGTTTTCAATGTTGTGTTTGTTGACTGTCGTTTGTCGTTAACATTTTGGTCGTTTTTCGTTTTTTGTAATGGCGTTCTTAGTTTATCTTCGACTTGCGAGTTTCAATATTCGTTTGGTATTTTCTGAAGTCGCGGATTCAGACTCAGGCTCCCCCTAAGGATAGGGAAAAATATAATTTAGAGTACTCTAAATCAAAATCAGTAGAATTTTTTAATTATTTACCAAAATGTAGTTTATATCATGGCTTTTTCAAATATTTAATAAAAAAGTATTGGTCAAGCTTAGGGTTGTGCAAAATTGTCAGATTTTGTATGGATTATTCACGGAAAACACACATAATTTAAAAATAAAATATAAGAAGATAGCTCTTATAATGGGCTTACAGAAAATGAAAAAGAAAAATAAGGTTCACGGGACTCGTTTTCTTGCTACAAGGTTAATTAGGTTAATGCATAACACATTCTTGTATAAAAGTTATATTATCTCCCCTTATATGGCAAATATGAAAAAAATTGAATCAAACAAAAAATATTCTGTATATGTAAAACAACAGTCGCAAAAATATGATTGTGAAACACATACCTTTCTTTATCTAAAGTCTAACAAATAAATTACATGCTTCTCTCAAAATTTGCAAATTTCTTGATCGATTGTTTTCTGCTATTTTACAATCCACGAAGGCTGAAGACACCCAAGCTACCTTAAAGTTAAATTTACAGCAATTGTGTGGCAAAATATGATCTTCCAACTCCTAATTCTCAGGAGCGTCCCTAACATCAAATCCTGGATCCGCGCATATTCCGCTTCTCTTTAATTTATGCTGACATCAAAATTCATAAAGTTTGACTAAACTATATTAAATTTAAAACTGTAGAATAATTGAAAATGTATTTGGGCAATTTGCTGTGACACATAAGTTTATCACCAGACTGTGAAATCAATACTAGTTGTGCAGGTTTCTTCCAATAATGTTAAGGATTTCGCTTATTCAAAACCATAGGCCACTCAATGATAAATACTTGTTCTGTGGATTGTTATGTACAAAAATTAGAGCGATCGAGCCAGCGAAATTTTTATTTTTATTCTTTTTATACCCAACCGGTATCTGCAAATGAAAACAACAGGTACTTGAGATGTGCTAATGAACATAACTCATAGATATTGTAACGGTTCCGAATTTGGTATCTTTAACGCCACATTTAAAAGGTGCTACTGATTGTTCACGCGAAAACACTTGTAAACAGATTCCATGAGGTCAACCTTAGTTTTTCTTTTACATATAAATAAATAATGAAATATTATTTTCCTATTGTATGTTCAACAAATTTTGTAATTAAAATTTATTGTCTAAAACTAGATAATGATAAAAAAAAATAATGTTCAGAAAACAAGCTGTCAAATTGGCTCGTTACTTGACCTGCTTCGTGGTGTCATGAAATATGTCACAATGTTTGAATAAAATTTGATAAATCTTAATTTATGCTAATGAATAATATCCTAAACTATTCATTGAAATAATCGAATAAAACGAAATAAGATTCAACTGTCATTGACTGTAAATTTAATAATTGGGACTTTTTGTCCTTTAAATTTTGTAACTTTTCTGTCCGTTTACCTGTGCTTATCAATATTATGTTTTAATGCAGTTTGTTTAACCAAACATAAAATATTTATAACAACGATAGTGCCAAAATGCCGTAGCTATTTCGAAACCATGTAAAGATTATTGAGCACATGCAATTGTGTACATTTTTCTTACTAAATACTACGAAACAAACAATGTTTAGCTACTAAATGTCACAATGACCACCTCAAACTTAATTATCAAATACACAATATCTCCTTACAACCTATTTAAACTCCCCGTTGTACAATGATTGCGCAATCTTTCAAACTAATTCCACATACCGCACATAAATACATTATTTCATATAAATCTTTACACCGTTCCCAACTTGGAATCTTTAAAGCCACATTTTTAAAGATGTAACTGATTGTTTAACAATTGAAAACCGATACCATAACCATCTGCCTCCAACAACTGTTAATGTTTTCATGAATATTACTTAAATGTATACTTATATCGCGTTTCAAACTATTGCTGATAAAAAAAATGAACCAGTTTGTCAGAGGGAGTTTCAATCTTATTTTTTGTGCATTTGAATAAATAATGAAATGTAGACTGGAAATTTACAAACAAAACATTTCAATGAAATTATGCGTGTACCAAAGCTGGTACTAACTACCGTACAAATTGAACCCTAATGGACTGAAGATCAATCAGCAGCAGCCCCATTTCCCACAAAATAGGGTTAACATTTTACTGCCATTGATAAAACTTATAAACAAAATGTTTGTGCTATAATTACAAAATACCCATAAAATTATTAAGGATGTTTTCCATTCAGGAAGAAGAAAGGTTAAAATAAAGATGAACGGATAATATAATGAACAAATACACATCAAAACAATATAAAATAAGGAGATGTGGCATTATTGCCAATGAGATAATGAGTCCCAAATGAAGCGGATTTTGGTCACATTAAGGCTTTCAACAATGAGTCAAACCTAAATCAACATTTAAAATGTACAAGCTGGTTCACAGCAGTTGTGTAACAAACGAGAATTTTCTTTTCTCGTTTTGTTTAAGTTACACCTTGTATTTTCGAAATCCAGGACTTTTGATCTTCGTAGTGTTATTATAACTCATGCATGCATTTTAAAGCTTGAAATATTGTTTTGAATTGGCACTTAATTTTAGAGGCCAGTTGAAGACCGCCTCCGGTGCGGGATTTTCTCGCTGCGTTGAAGACTAATTGGTGGCCTTGATCTGTTTTCTGCTCTTTGGTCGGGTTGTTGTCTGTTTGAAACAGTCCCCGTTTCCATTATCTATTCTACTTGTTGAAAACACTGTGTTGACATCAAGACATTTAAATGCTTTTTGTGTCTGATGACTGCTATCTCATTGACGCATGTCCCACTTTTCTTTTTAATCAGATAAAATCTTGATCCAAAATTACTGGGCCCGAAAAAGCAACGACCATCACACATTCCACTTATATAAATACAATTGGTATCAAACTTTAAATGTACACAGTGCTTGCAAATGAGAACAAATAGTACGTACTTATCAACATGCTTAATAGTTCCCAAGTTGGAATCTTTAGCATCACATTTAAGAATGCGACTGATGTCTTGAACCATCTGCTTTCAACAGCAGCTGATAATGTCTCCATAAAGATTTCTTCAATCTACTTATCACGCAGCCTTTCAAATCATCCTTTATCAAAACAAATTCAGAAAAAATTTTTGCAAACAATTACAAATTTTAGAGTGTTTATATATCTGTGGCCATGTTTTGTGATTTTGGAATAAATTTTAGAAGAATATATCAAGACTAAACAACCGAATTATAATTTATACTGCATCATACAAATCATCACTATACAACATATCAAATATACAAGCGGGTTCAGAGTAGCTGTGTCCAAGAATTAAGACAAGGATTCCTCTTTAGTCGTTTTTAGCTATAACGTGTGTATGACCTTTTGTGTTGGTGACAAACCTAAATAGTATCTAACAGCAGATACTTGATACGTGATAATGAACACACGTCATACAGATTGTCACGGCTCCGAATTTGGAATCTAAACATGTTGAACGTTAAATTTTGAAAAGGTGCTACTGATTGTTTCCGTAAAACATTTGTAAACAGAGTCCATAAACCATCTGCCTCCAACAACTAATAATGTCTCTATGGATATTTCTTCAATTTATACGAATATGAGATTTTCAAAAAACAATCAGATCAATTCGAGGGAACGCGTTTACATTCATAAGAGGTATAATATATCCATGTGCACAACATGTGATCTGAAATGATCTTCAGCAGAAATGATCAAGGCCAAAAGTTGGGCAGTCAAATAAGTAGAATGATTTAAGATTTAAAACAGAAAAGGTCCCGAACAAAGCAACAAAGGTCAACTATGCATGGGAAAGGGGGTCAATTTTAGTTTAGTACACTCAAATCTTTATCAACTGGAGATTTACAAACAAAGTAAACCAATTTAATGATGTCAGTACAAGAGCGCTAGCTGCTGAACTGATGTATGCCCAGCCAAAGGTTTTTATCCAGAAAGAAAAAAAGTTTAAAAAAACAGATATGGACATATAATATGATGAACAATTATTTGATGTTTGTTGCAAACTTGGACAGTCTCTTTTGGTTTTATACCAACTAGAGCATCTTAGATATCGACATAGAGTTTACGCAGTTAATTGTTGAAAACTCTAGATATATATTTATTCTATTTGTGTCACTGCGTGTGTTGTTGTCTCGATCATTGACGTAAACCCCATATTTCCTTCAATAATACAAAACACATACTTCAAATATATTGGAAAAGAGGAACACCATACGTTATTTCCTGCAGAGTTATTTATCATATATCGCGATGTGCCCTGTTGTTGTCTAAATGTGTGTATTGTTTTGCACGCCTCAGTCAGTGTGATTGTCGGGCTAAATTATGACAGTAAATTTTTTATTTCTTTTATTGATATTACTACATGGCTTTGTTCTTCAATTCGCAGTTGTAGCGTGATCGTCATTTTGCAAAGAATTCCGCTAATAACGGAGCTAGGGACCGTCTTAAACTTGTATTGAGTTTTTGTTCCGTTTTGAAGGCCTCACTGTGACTGTGATATGACGAATAGTAATAAAAGCGATGTTCCTTTGCATTTTGTGTTTTTGCTGTGCATGAAATGATTGTATGTCATGGATGAATAACCCATATCCATATCCCTTCGTTTCTATC